CATAACATAACATCTTATGACATCTAAATTGTATTTCATTTCAATGCAATCGGGAAAATTCCGTTTTATTTGCTTTGTGTGAGAAATCCTCTTTATTTGAACCATGTGGCTGATTCTATTTTTCGTAGCTGTGAAAACGTGTTGTATTTATTTAGTCTCTCACCCTTACAACGAAGATTATCAAGTATCAAGAATACCGTAAGTCATCAAGGGTGTCAAGGGTATTTACCCAGCCCTCTTGCAAAGTTTTCCAGTGTTCCAACATTGAAGATTTTCAGAGTCGTATCATCGAATGAACTTCATGCGAAAATAGTCAGGTCACTAAGCGCAGTTTAGATTTTTGCATGACGTAAAAAAACTGTCTGCCTAATAACCTACTTGCCTTTTGAAGGCAACCTCATGTGAGGGACTTAATCTTTCAATTCAGATTGCTGAAATGTTTTCCACAGCAAAGAAAGTTTTCTAAAAACGCACAGTATATAAGAGGTGGGACAGCAGTGGAGTAAGGGAAAGAGGGCGTTCCTTATCACATGCTAAAGCTTGTTCAGTCACCCCCGTTAACTTTGTGAGCCTACATACATACATACATATATAAACTTTATTTATCCTCGGATTTTAGTGTAGCTTACATAGCTAGTATCTCCGATCCTAACTAATTTTAAAAGTTACAACATATATAATATAATATTAATTAATGTAGTATTAACTAAAACTGTGCACTAACAATTTGCGCTTAAATTCACTATAATCTACATTCTTTCCAAAGTGATCAGGTAGAGAATTCCAGTACTTAACAGATGAATAGCTAAAGGAATTTAGACCATATGTGGTTGTAGACGGCTTAGGAAGTGATAAAATATTAGTACCCCGTAGGGAGTAAGCAGTAGATCTTAACTTGATCAGTTGTTTTAAATAGCACGGATATTTACCAAAATGGAGACATTTGAATATACAAATCATCATATTTTGTATCCTCCTGTTGGCTAAACCACACACACCAGCCTTGTCTAGAAGAGCATCATAGTTCGAGTCCCATTCCTTTAAAACAAATCTTAAAATACGTCTATTTAAGGTGTCCAGTTTGACAGAATCTTCTGAATTACAAAAGTGCCATATCATTGAACAGTAGTGAAAATGGGGTAAGATAAACGCTTTATAAAGGCGAAGCATAATTTCGGATGAGATAAGTTTGCCAAATCTTTTGAAGACACTGAACTGATTATTTATTTTTTTGCATACAGAGGATATGTGATCCTTGAAATTAAGTTCATTGTCTAGAGATATTCCAAAAAGATCCAGGCATCTTGTGGTTAAAAAGGAGAAAGGGTAATCGGTTTTGCCAAGAACCATCCCTTGATGTTTAGCAGGGTTTGCTTTCATCCCATTGTCTTCGAACCATTTATTTGCTATTTGTACATCATGATTGATCCGCCGTTCCAAGGCCACTGGGTCTACATCAGATGAGTGCAGTTGGCAGTCATCGGCATAAGTGTTTAATTTTACAGACTTAATGTGAAAGATGAGGTCGTTGAGGAACATGTTGAAAAACATGGGCCCCAGGATGCTGCCTTGAGGCACGCCCCGCTTCACACTCATCCAATCCGAATAAGTATCACCAAATTTCACTCGCTGCCTTCTATCCGTCAAGTAGTCACCGATAAGGGCGCAGCTGGATTCGTGCAAGCCATACGCTTTCAGTTTTGCTAATAGCAAAGCATGAGGTATGGTGTCGAAAGTCTTTGACAAATCCATTGATATAACCGCCACGATCTCTTTATTGTCTAGACTGCGCCTCCAGTCCTCAGTCAGCCTAAGTAAAGATGTCTCACAGCTATGGTGCCTCCTGTAGGCAGATATGTATTCAGACAATATGTTCTGGTAAAAGTCGCCCATTTGAGCTGAAAGTAGCCTCTCAAAAACGTTATTGAGCGCAGGTAATACGGTCACTGGTCGATAATTGCTTTTGTTTAGTTCATCGTCCTTTTTAAATAAAGGAGTAACTTGACCTAATTTCAAGCGCGACGGATACTGTCCTGTCCTAATCGAGTGATTCATTATTGCACCTATAGGACCAGCAATCGCGTTGGCAGACTCTTTTAACAGTCGCGGTGGTATTCCGTCATAACCACAGGATTTACGGGAGTTGATTTTGAGTAACAAAGCTTACACTTGGGTTTTATTAGTATATTGAAAAGCAAAATTGTTTCTCGCAGCGATCTGCTCATTGTTATTAAAAATCGCCTGAATGCTAGGATGTGCATCAAACCCTTTTCCATAAATCTGTTCAGTAATCTCTGGCACGCCGTCCGCGATGTTCACGAAATAACTATTAAAAAGCTCCGCTATTTGTTTCTTGTCTGTTATTACGACATCGTGTTCTTTTAGTATCATGTCATTAGCTTGCGTACTTTTCTTTGAATGCAAAAATGGGCGGTATGTGTCCCAAAACTCCCTTGGGTTTTCCGACTCACTTTTCTTGTCAAAGAAAGTTTTAATAGCT